TAGCCAGAATCTGCTTCATTCTAACTAGCTTCATTGTCAGTGATGATAGAATACAGCAGTGAGCATCAGTATGACCTCCAGGGACATTTTTATATATCATGAAAATATCAAAGTTTTTAACATTTATTTAAGAAAACTGCTTCAGTTCAGGATGCCTCAATAAATCACCTTAAGTGTAAATGATCGGTCTTTATGTTTACTTATGGAGCACCACAGGATCCAGTGCTTGGCTCAGTTCTCTTTTCTATTTCTATATTTTTCCACTTGGTAAAATATTTCATTTACATTTTGAAATGGGTAAATTTCAATTGTTATGCTGATGAAACTCTGCTACATTTGTCCATTAATCCTGATGTTAGTTTTTAAAGGACCTGAAAGTGGCAGCATCATGCTGTCGTTTCTTAGGCAGAGACCAAAAAATTTATCAAAGTTGGAAGAAAGATAGACTGAGTTGAACGTTGCTCATTCATGGAAAAAGATTTACTTTGACTTTTCAAAAATGGTTTATATTCCATCAAGGCAACAAAGCAACATTTCCACCTACAGCTGTGATGGAGTGATTTACATCAAAGTATTCTCATATGTTTGACCTAAATGTAGTTTCTAGGAATCTGTGGCAATTTAAGGAAATCTTGCTCCAACGCAAAGCTGGCAGAAAAACATCCTGAAAGACTTATAGCAATAATTGCACAGGAAGGTGGCTCTCCAAAGTGTTGATTCAGGGAGGCTGAATATAATCCATAAAATTGAAAACTGACTTTTCAGATTTTTTTTAAACTAGCATTTTCTTTCCTTTAGCATTTTTGCGCTTCTTTACAGAGGTTTATCAAATAAAAGTCCAATAACTTTCGAGGACGATTATTCCTGTAATGTTCCTAGATGTGAATAGGGAGTTTGTTAGCTGAAGATCCAGCCTGCTCACAATGACGCCATCTGACCTGCTTTGGTTGCGCTCACACACAGTGTGTTGTGATCCCCAGTGTATCGAGAAGGTCTGTGTTTTCATTCTCAGAGGTGCGTAAACAGACCCCATGGAGATGGAATGACTCTTTTATGTGAAATTAAATAAGATGAGCTTGTGGGCCTCTTTCTTTCCTGTTCCGCCTTCAGTTTTATGTTTGTTTCCACTCTTGAACAAAGCCTTCTCTCCACGGTGTATTAATGCCCATCAAAAGGCTTCAATCAAGCCTCTTTGCCACAGGCTAAAGTCAGACCAGAGAGGCTAAAGTTTAATGTTGTCAGAGCAGTGAGGATGTGGGCTCATGTCTTTTCCATGTCCTTCAGTTGTTGTTTTTAAACCCCCAGCATTCAGAAATATCCACAAAGTTCGGCTGGTGGCATACAAAATCTGCTAATAGGCTACAATAAAAGGCCAAGTTGAGGTCACTGACTGTGACAACAGCTTTATATATTCTACTGAAAGGGCAGAAAATGCATGAAATAAAACATAATTATGCCAGACTTCCTAAAGAATTAGTCACGGCTGAGTCAATCGAGTTTTGGAGAATCCGGTGATGTGAAGCGTTTTAGAAGAAGCTGCCGACTGTCTGCTGACATTTTCTTTCCCTGAATGGAAAATATGTGCTTTGTATCAGGCTTAATTAAACGTCCTTAACATTTTGGGCCCCTACCACTGGGGTTGTTTTTTTTTAACTGAAGAGATTGTTTATGATAAAAATGGGCTTGAATAAAACCTGCCATAAAAGTATGAAATAATAAAAAAAAATTTCTTGTTTGTTTTTTTTTTATGTATGCATATGGAGTATGTTGACGTTTCTTCTGCATGTCTGCCTTTTTTATGGTAGTAATTTTTATTTGACCTACTAAATGCCAGTAAAACACAAACAGGTTTTGAAAGGGAGCCGAAAGTTTTATCTCATTTTTAATCCCTTCAGTCACAAAGTTTAGTTGTCATCAGTGATGACCTCCTTCTGAAGGAATCTGGATGAATATCTAACTTTTCCAAAACAGATACACCTTGTGTTTACTGTTGTTAGCTGCAGGGTTTCATTTCTTTGGGCATCTGCATGAACAGATCCTCTTTGTGAATGTGTGTGTCAGTGTGTGTATGTTCCATTATTCAGTGCAGGTGGGCCTTCTGTCGGCAGGGAAGCTTTTATGCACACCACCAGAAAAACTGACACGCCAATAATTTTTAAGTAGTGATGACCACAGTCCTTCCCACTCCCCCACTGACCATCCTTGGCTTTGAAAGAACATGCAATGAATGGTTCCTATAACAGAGCAATTACAGCTAGTAAGAGGCAAAATCTTTCCTTCTTGTGAAATAAAAGAGTTTTCTTGTGACCATTGTGTGAACCAACCTCAAAATGTGCCAAAGGAAATAAAAACCACTTTGTTTTCCACCATTATTTCCAGGGCTGCAGACATCTTGGAGCTACCTTGCTAGTAAACAACAACAAACCTCAGCCTTGCCTCTCTTACTCAGTTTGTCTGTTGACTGTTCAGGGTTTTTTTTTTTTTTTTTTTTTTTAATCTTGCAGGTCACAAAGAAGTCTTTATGCACAACACGTGACAAAACGTAAATATTCTTTAATTCGGTTGCCATCTAGCAACACCTCACTGCTAAGAATAGCAGAGATGGACAGAAACACGGTACTCCTACAGACTGAAATCTGGTCCAGTGATTATTAAGTCTGGTTCTGTGCCATAAATCACGCTGCTGACATGCAGATGGACAGAGCCGAGAGTAATTAGATATTTGTTTTGAATGTAGGATATGGAACCTAACTGCTGCAAAGTCATTTTGCCTCCCCTTCCCAAGAGGCACTCACACACTGCTGTGTTGGAGGTACTTCTGCAGGGATGAAGATGAGAAATATGGACACCTCTCAGTCTCAGGGGCTCAATTTGAAAAGCAATCAGCACTTTTCAACTCCTCTTCCCCTCACTTGCTTTCTCGCCTTTTTGCTCCCTCTCACACATGTGCTTGTATGAGTGCATGTGTGCACCATGTGTGCATGACTATGAGAATACATTTGTGTCTTCAGTGTAGTTTGCCCGCATATAGATTCTCACTTTGAGGATGTTCATTTTTTTTCTTCTTCCTTTTTTTCCCTTTTTGGCTGGATATGATTTCGGAGCGCACTCTTTGAGTTCTGTTTGGAAAAAGGCATTTAAGGAAAAAAAAGTGTCATAAATGTTAAAGTGTATTGTTATGTTTCATTTTAATTGCATCGCAAAAAGTAATAACAACTGATAAGGTTTTTGGAAAACTTTTCAACAAAAGCAGAAGTGCAATTATTATTATTATTATTATTATTAATATTATTATTATTATTATTATTATTATTATTATTATTAATGATGGTGTATTTACTCATTTCATTTCGCAATTATTTTATTTTATTGTTTTACTCTTTAGTTTAATGCACTCATTTATTTTTGACACATTGAGCAATATATTACCTTTTCTCAACGGACAGAGCATGACTCTGCATTGGAACATGATGTGTCTGATAGATTACATCAACGACTTCTACATCTGCATATAAAAAAAAGATATACTAATACAAAGACTTACAGTAGATGGAGCAGAGAGTCTTATAATGACCGGAAACATGTGTCAGAAGAGCTCGCCTTGTGTGCAGCTTCTCTTTTATCACTGCTGGTCAAAGTGCTTTTATTACAGGTTCCTTCCAAATCCGCTCAAAAATATCGACCTTTTCTAAACATAAAAATAAATAAATCCCGAACTCTGAAAAAGCTAATATTTTTTATTTATTTATTTTTTTTGCAAGACTTATGGAGGCTCAATTGGTGGAGTCCTGGTTAAATTTCACGAAGAGAAAAAGAAGGAACGTGAATTGCTGTTTGCAGTATTTCAAATGTGAATTTTATTGTTGCTCCCAAACTTAGTCATAAGAAACTCCACAAAGCTGACTATATATATATATATATATATATATATATATATATATATATATATATATATATATATATATATATATATATATATATATATATATATATATATATATATATATATATATAATCTGAAAACCCTTTGGCTGCTGTGCAAGAACACGCCAGGTTACAGATGACAGCACACCTTGGGTCTCAGCAGTGGACTACGTCATATCCTCAATTTAATATTAAAGAACTGACAAGCTGCGTTTGAAATGATCTTTTGCCATGCATTTTTATTCTGACTCGTGGTCTGAGTATTGTTTTTTTAAATAATATGACAAAACTGTGAATGAATCGATTGGCCAACTTAGTAAACCGATTTCTTTATTTTCTGTCTTTAAAATTGCAGATTATTTGGCCCGCATGGTTTTTGTTTGTTTGTTTGTTGTTGTTTTTTCTCTCCCTCAATGAAATAGGCGACTAAAATCCGATCTAAAAAGCATAAAAGGCTTCTTTCAAAATTTTGAAGACAAAGTTTTATTCAGAAGCTCCACTCTGCGGAATATGGATAATTTGCCCTTGATGAACCATCGCGAATCAAGCGTAAAATTGCGCGCTCTCTCCATCCCTCTCCGCCCCGGTGCTGTCTGTCACCCATCTCTTTTTATTCATCTCCAAATCACATTAATGTCATGTGTTGAGCCCCACGCCCCTGTTTTGCTTTTTTTCCCCCCCCTTTTTTTTCTTTTTTAGCAAACAAGCAACCTAAGTCGTTCATGTCATCAGCGTAATCACTTGGGAGAGTTCCTGAGGCCGGGAGATCTGGGTCCCATCCTCCGAGGGGAGACGGAGGTTTGTGTAACTCTACTCAAACCTGAGGGGGAGTTCGGAGTGTTTGGTCAACAGCAGTGGTTCCTGGAAAAGATCTGAATCGCTTCATAACCAAACCCAGCTGCGGTTCTGCTGCGGGCTGCAGCCTCTCCGTGCGTGCGTGCGTGCGGGTGCGTTTTGAGGTAGACGGAGAGGAAGGGGTTTCTGGAGGAGAGATAGAGAGGGAGGGAAAAGAGGAGAGGGAAAAAAAAAGAAAAAAAAAGTTTGGACTCCTTTTTCCCTTGACTCTTTTTTTAGTCATGAACGCCGAGACCTGTGTCCCATACAGCGACATGACATCCATGAATTCGTATTATAACCCCTCTGCTGCTCAAGGTAGGGATCACCAGGCGGACCACTTTAGGACATTTCCAGCTAGTGACATCAAATACAGCTCCACCGCCTTCCTGTCCAGCAAAGGTCAGGCTTACGGAGAGAAGTCCCGGAGCCCCTTCCAGCAGGAGTGCCAGTCATTGGATGCCGCCGCAGCTGGGCAAGGCTCTTTCAGCAAATACCAGCTCTTCATGCAGAGGTCCTCCTGCAAAAACACCGCCCGCGGAAGACAAGCTGCTGCCGAGAGGGGACACAACGGAGCGCTCGTCCTGTGCTATGGTGAGTGGAATAAAACACGGGTTACTATTTTAAAAATAAATAAATAAATAAAAGCTCCTTATTAAAAGAGATGATAATTAGGGTGGAACATTTAAAACTCTATATCAGGGGGGAAAAAAACCCAAAAACCGTTTGGATGTTGTCAGCCATCATTCATTGCTCGGCTTTCTCAAAATCCGCCTGACTGGATGGAATAATGTGCCGGAGAAAAAAAAATAAATACATTTTAAAAAAGCTGCTCCATCTGTCCAAAGTTCGTTTTTTTGAAAATAAAATTCGCCTTGCATCCTCTTCGTGTCATCTCGACTACAGCATCCTCCTGAATAGCAGCAGCAGCAGCAGCAGCAGCACACAGGACAGCAGCAAACCAAAACATATGGCCCTGCAGCTGCAGAGCGCGCAGCCTATTATTAAGACGACTGACCTCCATGTCCCTCAAACTATCAAATTGTCTGTTTGGACATCAAAATCAAATTACGGCGCAATTAATGTGCTAATCTGCATTGCAATCCTTAAAATCGGAGCTGAGTCGGACAATTGAATTAACGGGTTTTCAGATGGCGCACGCGAAGAAGGTCAGATTGATCATATTTGTGTGTCTTTGCGCGGGTTGATTGGGTCCAGTTAGATTAATTGGCACAAGGAAAATTGCTCCAACTGGGGACTAATTAGGGTGACTTTAAAATGATAAACTTTCCCCCCCTCTGTCTTTCACATAGAACCTGCGTGTTTTAAAGTTGATTCCAGTTTCTCACCGAAAATGCCGCAAATCCTCGATGAACCGCGATTAAACTGCAAAGACGAATTATTGCAAAGACTCAAAAAATCTCCACTGACAAATGAGCCAAGAATATTTTAAATTGGTTGTAGAAAATTATAATTAAAATAATTAAATAATAATTAAAAAAAACACATACACACACATTGTTAGTTTTTTTTGTTACTTCTCTCCACTTTAAATAATAACACGAACACAAATCAGTAATCAGTAAACAAAACCGCGCGCTCAGGTGTTTTCTATTTCTTTCTTCTTCTTTTTTTGCACAACAAAGCATTGGTATTCGTTATTATTTTTGTTTTTATCAAACTCCTCTGCGCTTTCAACAAATGTTTTATTATTATTAATATTATTATCATTATTATTTTAAGAATAAACATTTAGGTAATTTGCTTTTTTTTATGAGAACGAGCTCTATTTAAAAAGCTAAAAAACCAAAACAACGTATTTTAATGTTTAAAACCAAAAGTTCAAACTCAACAGTGGACGTTTCTGGACATGGCAGAGCGCTCCTGCATGCGTCATATTTCGCTGCGGTTCTCCGACCTGCATATTCATCATTCCTGCCATGAATCTGAAGAGCAGTTTTAAGATGTTTTGACAGCTTAGTCCTCTGGTAGCTCTTTATGGCTCCATCTTGTCAGGACCAGTGAGATAATCTTGTTTTTCCTTTTTGCCTTTCTTTTTTCTTCTTCTTTCTTTTTCTTTTTTATTTTTCTTTCTTTCTTTTTTTTTTTTTTTTTTTTATCTTTAGCTCATGTGGGTCTCTTAAAACCGGCTGTTAAGTTTTTAGCACCCATTAACCCTGATATAGATCCGGCAAAAAAACAGAGATGAAATAAAATTTTATATTACGTTGTAAACGAGGCACTTGTTAGGCTGAGTTCAAAAACCGTAAACACTCAGGATGCGGGATAGAAAAAGAAAAAGAAAAATATATTTCTATATATTTATGGATTGATTGATTTAATCGTTTATTCGATTATTTGTGTTTGTTTTGCAACAAATCCAATGAGACGAATAATGTTCGAAATGCGTCAAAACCTCTCGTTTCAGGATCATTACTTTATAGTTCCATCACTGTTTAAATGCAGGCCGATTCCTAAATCGAGGCATCCGGGCCAGGTTGGTTCTTTAAGGTCTAAAAAACCCCAGAGCGGCTCGTCTGGTGTTCTTGTTTTACAGCTCAGCGGCGGATTCACCGTGAAGGAAAAGGCAGGGGAAAAACATATATATATATATATATATATATATATATATATATATATATATATATATATATATATATATATATATATATATATATATATAAATCCTAAAGACAGAGGAACTCCGCCATTAATACGACTCAGATGTCAAACCTTTTTGTTTGCTTTTATTTCCCCTTCGGACCCCCTCCCCACACACACACACACACACACACACACCCACACACACACACACACACACACACACACACACACACACACACACACACACACACACACACACACACACACACCTTGTCTCACACTGACTTGACCCCACACTGACAAACCTCCTCCTCAGAACCTCCTCAAGCTTTGGATCAGACCAGTTCCTACTTTAACCGCGTTTAGGATCGCTGATGCAAAGATGAAATTAAATAACGTCTCACGTGGCCTGATAAAAAAAAAAAAAAACAACAAAAACATAGAAAATAAGAGTCGGCTTGGAGGCTGCTTTACTCGTGATTTGAATGGCTTAAATGATTTCTGACTGAGTTTAAAAGATGGAAGGGAAATATGCTGAACCTGCTTAAGAAAAAAAAAAAAGAAAAAGATAAATGATTCCTCCTGTGTTCCCTACCAAAAAATACTGAAGTATTTCATCTGTGGTTCACTTCCTTTATCAGAGATGTATTTCACCCAGAAGGGGCTTAAGCTTTCAAAGATGGGTTCTGGTGATGTGATATGCAGTCTGATATCCTCAGGTGGTTTCAACCGAGACGCTTTTAGTCTGACGGAAAGCAGAACGGTTGCTTGACAAATATTTACCTACATTTGGCTCACTAAACGTGGTGTTTACAGCCAGCAGGCTGTCAGTCACGCAGCTGAGTATAGCCAAGGACGGAGGAGAGCTCGGTGCGTTGGCACGCTGAATTATGAGAAGGGCAGAAGGAAACACAGAGTGAAAGGCACTGCATTCGACTAACGCAGGTTTTATCACATAAATGGCATCATGACGATATGCCGAACAAGCATCCATAGGATTTTTTGTTTGAGAAGAAATTGATTGATGAGTAAAGAAAACTTAGAAGTACTCACTAAGGATAGTGTTGCAAATGATTATTTTGGAGCGGCATGCCAAGACAAAACGCCAGGCCAGATGGTCAAGAGCATTAAGGTCAAGATAAAGCACCTTTCCTTAAAAAGTGCTTAATAATCAAAACTGACAGTCAAAATGTTTGGTTGTGACTATACTATGATGTAACTACCATCATTAGTTATGAGCATAAAAGCAGTATAAAATCTATATTGTGTAGACCGCAAGATTATAGACACAGCTCCCAGGATGTGTCTCCTGTCAAGCAAACCTTTCTAAAAACACTTCAGATCAACTTTCAAAGATTACAAGGAAGTCTGGCTGCTTAAGGAAACACTGAGGAACTGTGCACAGCTACATTATAGTTTAGGAAATGAGATGAAATTGTGCAACTAATTTTGCATGAAAGCATATTGTGAAAGTGCAGAACTTTTGAAAAATACGACAGAAATCCATCTATCTATATCTATCTATCTATCTATCTATCTATCTATCTATCTATCTATCTATCTATCTATCTATCTATCTATCTATCTATATCTATCTATCTATCTATCTATCTATCTATCTATCTATCTATCTATCTATCTACATTTTTGATTGGATCACTGCAGACTGATCAATACGTCAATAACATTGATGTCCCTAGAGACTTCCTCTTTTGATGTCCCCATGTCTTCTCCCTGTGTCCGCGGGTGTTGACCTTTAGCTTGGCTTCTCTGCCCCTCATATGTTTGGAGAAGAGGGTGAGTACTCCTCTGAGCTTGCAGCAGAGAAATCATTTGAAACTCAGGATGAAACTCTTTGGTGTCAAATTCAAACTTGCTGCAGCTTTCAGCATTGCTCCAGTTTAACAGTATAACAGGTCCCATTATAATCCATTAATGCTTGTGATCCCTTGTCATATTTAACTGGTGACACAATTTAAACTAATAAAAGCCATCATTTGGCTTTTATTTTTTTTGGGGGGGGGGGATATAACCCTGCAGGCTCTTCAGAGCATTTAAAGAACATTTTGGATATCATTTCAGCATCCTGAGATTTTGTCACTCTTCAGAGTTTTCAGTTCCCCTTTGTGCCAGTTTTTGACCCAAACATAACCACTTCAGCCTCTGATAACAGTCGTCTGTACAGATTGGTTGGAGCAGGGTGTAATGGGAACCAGCCCAGCGGCTCGGACGGCCGAGGAACGCTTCAGCAAGTCCCTGACGTGAATGGAGGTGACAGGAACTCGGGATCATTTTACCATTTAGCCTAAAGTTTGGCAGGATAATTTACATTAGGCTCAGTTTGCATGGCCGACTGAGAGCAGCCGGACAGAAAAATGCTCGTGAAGTCCACGAGTTCTTTTGGTCGTTGACTCTGTGTCACGTAAACTGAAGTCTCCTACAGAAGCAGGACTGGATAAGGCAGACGGAGCGAATTAAATGTTTTAATGCTCAGAGTGAAGCGAGGTCAAAATCATGGGTTTGTGAAGGTAGCTGTTATGCATGGCATTGTGGTTTCACCAAATCCTAATCATCTAAAACTTTATAACAGGTTTGAATGTTTGGCGTTGTTCAACTGCAGCAGTTAGCGGAGAACATGAAACTACTTTACAAAATATAATGGTCGTATTTGTCTTTCTCCTATTTTTTATGTGTTAAGGAAATGCGTGAGAAAGTAGAAACCTTATATTTAACACTCTCCTAACAGCTTGGTGTTAGTGAGCGGGTTTCGCCAAGGTCACATATGAGGAGAAATATTAGCTCCTGTTTGTTTTTGTGGATTTTTACATAGATTAAACTGCAGTTTCAGACTGTGACTTTAAAATGAATGCATTGTGGAGGATGATCAGTCGAAGACAAATTATTTATATATATATATATATATATATATATATATATATATATATATATATATATATATATATTTATTTTTTTTTTCTTTCAAAAACCTGGTTTTTGATTTTATAAACATAAACAACTGACTGCATGGGAACAAATATTTTAAATCAAACTGGTAATGAAACTATGAGCGAGAGAAAGAGTGTGTGATCAGGCAGATTTAAATGAATCAAAATTATTTCACTGACTGCATGTTTGTTTCACATGACCTTGTATTATCCATGATAGTTAAAAAAAACATTGCTTTAATGTTTTCTCCAGCTCTTAAAGAAGCTTTATTTTCATTTCAATTTAGACCCTTACTCGCAACGCGTTTCGGCACATGACGCATGTCATTTTTATAAAAGAAAGCAAAATTATATTCCCCGAAAATGTTTGTTTGAACATTCGTCATCCATATTTGAAGATTGTCAAATAAAAAGCATTGATAAGATCTTCAGCCGTGGTGCAAAGCACGTCATTTGAATTTATATGTTTTAAATAATTTCTCCAAACAAGGTATATATATATATATATAATATATATATATATATATATATATATATATATATATATATATATATATATATATATATATATATATATATATATATATATATATATTAGATTAGAGAATGTTGTTTTTATAATTATACCAAAAGTAATTTAGAAGAAGCCAAAATTGTTCACACATATCGAGTGATCGGCAAACGGAGAGGCAAGAGGATTGGCAATAAACAGGACACTTTTCTAATATGCTACTATCTCAGCCTTGTGTTTAATGTAATGTTGCTGTCTTATATTCTAAATATGATAAGAATTTTTAAATCTTTTTGCTGGCACTGTGTGTTGATGTTGAGTTGAGGTTGCAAACAGCTTTTGTCCCCCTCTAGTGGTAAAAAAATTATACTATTGAATACTACTACTACTATGACTGTAGCTATAATAATAATAATAATAATAATAATAATAATAATAATAATAATAATAATAATAATAATAATAAATAATTAATAATTAAACAAATGAATGATGACAAAATATTGTGGCTGTTTTAGATTAGATCCTGCTCAAAGGTCATAAAATTGATATTATGCATTTCCTTTTCCATATTTGATCTCATTTTGCTCCTTCAAAATTGGATAGCTCATCTTCTGTTTAGGAAGCATGTGGTTAATCGCTCTCCCTATCAATATGTGGTGTGTAATTTATAGTATTTCCTTTTAACACTGTGAGCTGACCCCAGTCAGGGCAGTCAGTAAAAAGCCAGGGAAGGTGCCCTGTCGCTTTACAGCCAGTTAAAATTACTCTTTGATGTTGCAGCAGTAATATCTGTCCGGGCGGTTTTGACCTTTTAGCCTGTAAGGACTTGTTCATCGACATGCACACAACCTCACTTTGTGCATTGCACTGTGAGTCAAGGATATTATTAGAGCAGTAAACATATAAATGTTGCTTTTGGAAGCAGACGTTTTACGCCGACTGCAGTGAAGTCAGATGGAAGTTTTCTTTGCTCTTTATAACCTACTTTCTAAGCACCTAATTGTTAGGCATCTTCTCTGTTGACATGCAAAGCTCCAGAAAAAACAATGTTGCTGAGACAGACGAAATTAAAATTAGATGTGCTTCTACCGATGTCTCTGCCTCAATGTTCTGTGTGAGCTGCATTTAAAAGTCTGACATATGTTGAGATGAAACGCCAAATACAGTCCTTATGTCTTTGCCGGAGTTTACATCTAGACATATATGGTGTTGCTGGCAGGAGGTTTTAATATTTGTCTCACCTGTGACAGATTTGAATGAATTAAAAGCAGGAGATTGTTACAATATCACGGTCTTGCCAGAAAACTTTAGGGATGCTGTTTGGGCAAAATCCTTTGATCAGAGAGAGGCCTCATGATTTCAAACAGCCTGAGTGCTTTATGGGGACCATGAGTCCCAGCAAAGAAAACATGACGCAACAGCAGTTTGACATTTGCCCCCTTTGAAGCACAATAGGAAGACATGGTCATGTACGCCAGGAGTCTATCTCCAACTATGCTGCAGAGATTTGCTTCTTATGAAGCCTTTTGTAAAACTAAACAAAAATAAAGTAAAACACCTTCCAAATGTAGTTAAATCTGTATGTCTGCATGCACAGCTGCACCGCTGCAAGCAGGAGAACCTCCAGATGAGTTATAAGTGGTCAGTGAGGGGGAGGGGCACAGGTTATTTAGGAGTGACACACCTGAACCGCATAATGGCAACAGCAATTAGTCGACTCAACGCAACAATGATACCAGACACATATCAGAAGTCGTTCTGGAACGGAAAAACGTCAAGCCTTTGCATGGGCCCAACTTTACTCGCTACTAGACGTAACACCTAAAAATAGCCTGATCTGTACCTTGAGTGCAACCATTTCAACTAAAATCTTCCAATTATGCTATGATATCAATATCCAATATCAAATAATAACTCCAATGAGTCAGAATTCTGCCAAAGGTTTGTTGAAGTCAGTCAAAAAACATGCAGTCTTCTTGTTTTCAAATGTTGAAACCAGTATTGGAGAGTTTGGTTTGCTATTAGCACCTGATTATTATTATTTTTTTCTAATATGCGTCTATTAGAGAAAATTCACCAGAGGGCCAAATGTTTCTCCATAATAATAAAAGTTGTGTAAATTTAGTTATGTTGGTTTAAAATGCAAAAAGTGGTCAAATAAATAACGATGTCAACAAATATGTTATCTACAGGTTACTATATTTAAAAATATCCTTTTATTTTTATTTAAATCCTTTATCTTTCAATAACACTATATCAACGTGGATTCGTTGACAGTAAGTTAATTATGAGTAGAGAACTTGAAGCTTCCATGAGGTTGGAAAAAAAGTAAAAAAGACAGCTTTCTTCCTGTTTTAAATACTTCTTTGTATTTTCAGGACAGCAATTCAGTTTTTCTTCAACACCTCCTGAATCACTAAGAGTTTCTATGTCTACTCAAAATCAGACATCTTGTTGATTTTGCATTCTTCAGGGTGCTGCCTCTCTCTCCCTCAATCTTTGCATCCCCTACTGTGTGTCTCTGTTATCCCCTGGTTACCTTCATGACATCAACGTCCACGAAATGGTCCTAGGTTGCGAAAAATTAAATTTCCTTGCACTTATTGCACAAGTGTTTCTTATTAATTGTTTTTTTTTATGGCACAGGGACAAAGTTCAATCAAAAATTAGTCCTATTCCAGAGACTGTGCTTCTGCGAGAACAATTCCTGTTTATTGGTAGATATGGAACTATCTGCTCCATATCAACCTTAAGTTATTTTTCTTATCAGTCCGAATTTAGCTGTTTGTTATAGTGATTCATCTGTGTCTAATTCTTTCCAGGGAGTTAATTACAGGATTATTCTGTACCTCTGTAAGAATGGAGATTGTCAGTGAAGAAATAACTTTAAGCGTCGCTGATCTGTTTAATCGTCTGACCTAATAAAAACACAGCTAAGAAAAGAAAAGAAAAGATGTGAACCCAGAATGGCACTTTGAGGAACTTGGTGTCTTCTGATATATGATTTGAACTTAGAAATACTCACAATGCACACTCCACATCTTTCAAGAAAATATAATATATATGCAAAGTTCAATACCATCTGGAAGATTTAAATTGAAATTTCAGCTTTATAATTGAAATAATAAAGATGTTTGCCACATTTTAAGTGCTATAGAAACTTCAAAACATCTCCCAGTTTCACCTTGATAAATCGTTGGATGAGCAGATAAGCTTTAGATGTCAGCAGTCCTAAAAATAATTTGATAAAAGGTCGTGTTACTGAAACTGAGTGAGACAGCTCTCACTGAGCAGCCTGTTCCCATGTCCTACATGGGAATGTGTTTTACTGAGACGATGCATTAGCAGTCCTTTTTTTCCAACTTTGTTCTGGATCAGGCAACGTTTCCAAAGGAGCAGATAGTTCACAACAGAATACTGGCAGAAGCAAAACTGTGGAAATTTATGATCGGAGAGCGGCTTGAGGTTTTACAGCGAAACTGCAGCCATGAAGAAATCAAATGTGAGCGCAATCGACAGGGAGAGTGAGAGATTTTTAAAAATTGTTTTTGGATCTGTAGAAAACTGGTCAATTTATTTGTGACAATAGTGGTGCAGAAATGACTCGATAGGCACTCTGAGATATTTTCACTGACAAACAGCAACTGAGTGGAGAGAAAAAAAAAGAGAGGTGTTTATGAGTGTGTCTTGAGGACAATGCTGATGGTTAAGAAGTCTTAGTCATGGAGTGAAATCTGCAACGTTCAGTCAGTCATAGAAAAAACATCTGTAGTCTACTGGGTTAAGCAGCCAGTTTTACAAGCACACACTAAACACTGTGGCAACACATTTCACAACAAAGTTTCATCACACAGAGTGAGAAACGTCTTTGTTCCGCCCCGTCAGACCTCATAAATTAAAATATTGGTCCTTCAAAGAAATCATTATATCTGAATGCTCTGTCTGAGGCTCGTTCCTGGAAGTTTGGTCAAAGGAGACCCTTGTTTTCTTTTGTTTGACATTAGATAGAGCTAATTAGATGATCCATGTCTATTCCCAGGAGGAAAATTCTTTATGATGGGCCAAGATCAAAAAAAATATCACACAGAGATTTTCATTGGAAGATTTTGTTGGATTTATGACCAAAATATTCAGCAGATTTTTGCATGTGAGCCAAGGCAAGAAAAGTGTTGACTCTGAGCTCGGGTCCTCTACCAGAGGCCTGGGAGCTTGAGGGTCCTGCGCAGTATCTTGCACATTTCTGGACTGAGATGTCTGATGTTGTTCCTGGGATCTGTTGTAGCCACTGCTCCAGTTTGGGGGTTACTGCCCCGAGGGCCCCGATAACCACAGGCACCACTGTGGTCTTCACCTTCCAGGCCCTCTCCAGTTCTTCCCTGAGGCCCTGGTATTTCTCCAGTTTCTCGTGCTCCTTTCCTGATGTTGCAGTCGCTTGGTATTGCTACATCTACCACAACGGCTTTCCTCTGTTGTTTATCCACTACGACAATGTCTGGTTGGTTGCCATCACCATTTTGTCTGTCTGGATCTGGAAGTCCCACACGATCTTAGCTCTGGCATTCTCCACCACCTTTGGGGGTGTTTCCCACTTTGATCTTGTCCATATTCTGTCCATATTCTGCACAGATGTTTCTGTACACTATGCCTGCCACTTGGTTATGTCGTTCCCATGTTGTTATTTATATATATATATAAATATATATACTGAGCACTCAGGCCAATAAGGTCACCTGAAAAATGTAAATACCTTTGAGGACCAAATGTATCAAACACATATATTCTTCTGCGTCTTTCTGTCTTCTGAAAATCACACTGTATTTTCCCACTACAATACATTACTCTTATAAATACTCCCCTTTTCCTAATTTATCTTCAGTTTAATAGCAACAAATTTACAAAGAGTTGTTCCAGTCCAATCATTCTTCTTAAGAATAACACTTTTAAGAGTTTCACACACTTCCTGTTTCTGCAGGTAAGGACAATTCAGGCCTGACAGACTCTGATTTGGCCCCAGACTCTGATCCACCTGGAATGGACTCCAGATACTTGGCTGTGAAGGACCAAGGTGTCAAGGCAGCCTCTGAAAGGTCGCCGAGCAATGACTTGGCGAGTCCGCTGGAAAAAGTCGATGGTGGCGAAAGCAACAAGGGCAAGAAGAGACGCAACCGCACCACCTTCACCAGCTATCAGCTGGAGGAACTGGAGAAGGTTTTTCAAAAGACGCATTATCCTGACGTTTACGCCCGGGAGCAGCTCGCTTGAGGACTGACCTGACCGAAGCCCGAGTGCAGGTAAGAGCCAACACAACTAAATGGACGTTGGATACATTTATTCTGGACACAATGCTTTAAAAAAAAAGCTCTGAAGAGAAAAGGCTTTAAACAACAAAACCTCCTGCACCCTTCAGCATCTGCAGAGATAAAGTCACTCTCAGAACAACATGAGAGATTTATCTAGTAATGTGGGAGTGGGGAGAGAGAGTGTGGGGGAGTGAGAGCTTGCAGAGGCCAGGGGGCCCAGGGTGGATCAGGGGGCTGAGGTTTGAGCTGCCTGGGCCTCATATGTGCAGTTTAAAGAGAGCAGACTTTCATCAACACATGGCTCTGCAATGTTTTTCCTTAGGATTGTCTTGATGGCTTTATCCCTTTGCACTTTCAAAGTTTAGTTTCCTGAAATTGCAAGATCTCTTCTGTCGGGTTCTCCATGAGCTGAGGCTCACAGCGCCCTTGACCTTTTAGGCTCAATTAGTTTAGAAACTGGTCACAACTGCTGTAATGCATTCCCACATCAGAGAGAGTGAAAGAGACCTCCACCATATCTGCTCCATGTTTGTGTGGTGCATGTGGATGAGAACCAAAGCCCTTGGATTTTCCTTGTTTTTTCATTAAAGACCCGTTCAGACAAGAATGTGTCCCGCTGTGGTCTCCAGGAGGTGTGAAACTTTTCCCATGGGCTTCCGCTGGTTCGTCAGCGACTGTTATCAGCTTACTTCAAGTTCTGGCCAAAACAAGCCTAATATGTTAAATCTGGCTTCGTTCTTTCCGTGCCCGTCAATTTAGATGAGATAAGAGATTGATCAAAAACAATCACCCAGATGATGAGCTGAAACGGTGAGCGAGAAATACAGGAAATCTGTGCAGCCTCCAGGGCCGTAACTCACTCCAGAGTCTAAAGGCATGCCGCTCTGCAGTTTGTGCTATCACTGACCTGCCCGCTGCAGATGGATGCAGCTTTACAGTCGTCGGCTCTCCCAGCAGTCCACTTAAACACTCAGGTTAAAAAGATAAAAGGCACAAGATGCCTCAGCCACAGGATAGGGTTTTGTGCTCCATCCAGGTAATTTGCATGTAAGAGGGAAAGAAAAGAAACAAAAAAACTCATCAGTCAGCATCTGGAGCAAAGAAATGTTAGAGCACCCTAAACTACTGATAAAAAGCATTCTCCAAAACATATAGCTTTTTTCTTACAAAAGAAAGGAGAGCAAACAGACCTCAGTGGTTCATGTTTCACATACACGCACATCAAATAACAGGGCACCTTTTTGTTAAACAACGCCAGGGCCGGTGTTGTTTGCTTTTTTAGTCAGGGTTTCAAAGGAAGAAGGTGAATTCAGATCTGAGCCACATACACTACATGTGAAGGTCAGGGGTCACAGGTCAGGGGCTTCAGTATCGTCACATCTCTGAGATTCGCAGCTCTGATACGTCCAGGGAGCCGAGACGGCATCGGACGTGGAGTCCTCCGGGGAAACACAGGTGTCCACATGAGTTTATAGATGAAAGATGAGACGCAGATCCCACCTACAGAGAGACAGAGGGCGAGACGCTCAGAGCGCATCTCAAAGGGCCGAGGAATATCCGCAATGTTACGTTATGATGTCAAGTTGTCTGCTAAACTGAGATAGAATGTGAAACCATTTTAGCAACAAGAAGAAAAATGGTGTTTTTAAGTCATCCTCATTTTAAATTTAAATGATTTTAGCACAGACAGACTAGCACTATTAAGCTTTTTGTAAACCAGACGAATGTTTGATCTTTAGCACTATAAGCACGACACCATTATTTCCATTCTCCAGAACAAAAACAAAACACTATGCAAGCATATGTTGCAGAATCTAATGCATCGGTAAAAGTTTACAACAAACAGCACAGGAAAGCACTGCTGCAAGTCTTCCTGGATAAACTGCATTTTTAACGAGTTTCAAATGAAAACAGTAAACATTCATAGTATCTCTTTAACCTCAGTCCGCAGGTGCCCTCTGATGACCTTACAGGGAATATCAAGTTCTCCACTTAGAGATTTTTTTTTTTTGCAGAAAATGAGAACAAAAATAGCTGATGAACATAAACACTGGTCAGACATCCTCCTGTTATGTTGTTGGAGTTTTATGGCAGCTGGAAAACTGAAGCCAGGCTCAGCAGCCCCTCTTTTTTTTTCCTCTCCTACTTGGTTTGGAAGGTGAAATGAGTGACAGCAGAGGCAGGTTATCAATCCTCCGAGCCGCGCTCTCACTTCAAAGTGTTTTCAGCCCCCGTACAGCCCTCCTGCTGGGGCCAGTTTGGTATTTCTCTGCTCTTTCTCTCTGGAGCAGTAACATAAATAAAGGCTCATTGAGAGTCTACCAGCTACTTAAGCTGTCAAGGTCTTTACCAATTACTGTCACAAGGCAGTGTGTGCAACATAGAAATATGTTAGAGCTGCATAATAGCCAACAGACTTGGAGCAGGGCAAAAACTGAGATGTCCATGGATTCAGGATTTGAGGAAGAACGTGACGAGCTCGATCATTACAGTAAATCCATAAAGTGACCTTCGGAGACAGCAGTCTTCGACTGGGTGGTGATGATTAGGCTCAAAAGAAGACATATCAAACATCAAGGAAAGACGGATTATGGCCTCAAATCGGCGTGCCTTCGTAATTTAGAAGAAGACCGTGACTCAAAGCCAGAGGTTTTAGACTTCAGGAAATTAAAAGGGAAGATCCAAACAAACACCAATTATCATCCTATCTCACTTTTCCATTCCCCCTTTTTGCACGATATCAGGAGGGCACCAGAAAAATAGTCTGGTTGGTAACATCAATGGAAGAGACATTTTCAGGAGACAATAAAATCAAATGTTTACATTTAGATGTTTAGATTTGCTTGCACAAAAAAAAAAGGTAGATGATTACAGCGCAAGAGAAAAAAACACATTTTGATTACTTTCAGATTCTCCACTAGAAAGCCAAACACACTAATTTTTGCAGTAAACACAATGAATTTAGATGTCAAAGGCAATTATGGAAGATAAAACACACACTCTGTGGTCAGACAACAAATACGCATTGGTGAGATGATTTTAGAGCTACAAACATGTAAATTTCTGTAGCAATTTGTTTCGAAATCATCCGCTTCCTTTTCCGCCTCAGTCACACTCACACAGCTTTAATTGCCTCTGAGTTGCAATTTTGAGTCTGTGAGTTCACACTAAGGTTGTGGGTTTTTTTTTTTTTTTTTATAAGAATCAGATTCCCAATTAAAACATCCAGATAAAAGTCCTTCCTTTTGATCTCAAGCAAAAGTGTGTTTGGGTTTTAGTAACACTACATTTCTGCTATTCCAGTCTCATTTTAACTTCACAAACTTCTTGCTCTCTTCAAAGATGTGTAAACTTTTGTTTTCCATTTGCAGGTGTGGTTCCAGAACCGGAGAGCGAAGTGGAGGAAGAGGGAACGATTTGGTCAGATGCAGCAGGTCCGAACACATTTCTCAACTGCTTACGAGCTGCCGCTCCTAACGCGTCCTGAGAACTACGCACAGGTACAGGAGCAACATGTTAAATCGTGCTCAAAATGCAACAGATAGATTTGGTTTATTGAGTGCTAACAGGAGTCTGCGCAAGAGATTTTTGTTTTAATAAGAATGGAATAGTTGAGTTCAAGTTTGGTCAGTCTTGTTGTCACTTTTGAATTGATTTATGTTGCCAATCTTGGTCTTCTTTTTTATAGCTAGAAAAAAAGCTTAGCAATCAATCAATGGATTTATGTTCAGCCAAGAATGGTCCAACTCAGCGGATGTAGGATTTTGAAAAACAAATGTTCAAGTGAAGCCCAAGTTTTTTTGAAAACATCAAAATATCATTTTAAAATAGAGTTGTGCCAAGCGCTGTGGCTCAGACATCAACTTTATTTATATTAGCTGGCTGCAGTTTGCTGCTATGAGTTCTGACGGCAACATACTCACCTTTGATTCAACTTTTGAATAGCCGATAAAACCTTTTAGCAAGTCTTTAGGTTAGCAAGGGATGTCTTAAAATATTACAGGTACATCCCAGTACAGCATAATATTGTGATAAATATCAACAATGTTCCATGCTTATAATGGACCGGCAACTTGTCCAGGTTTCCGATATTGGTTTGAAAGTGGCCTAATTCAAGGAACGCAGCAGTTGTAGTTCATTTCCTTGATGCAGTTGCTTTTGAAACCCTGATTGTAGACACAGTGCACACCTTATCAATCTCTCCAAAGCGCATATACAGTTAGGGCCAGAAATATTTGGACAGTGACACAGGTTTTGTTATTTTAGCTGTTGACAAAAATATGTTCAGAAATACAATTTATATAATATGGGCTGAAAGTGCACACTCCCAGCTGCAATATGAGAGTTTCCACATCCAAATCGGAGAAAGGTTTAGGAATCATAGCTCTGTAATGCAGAGCCTCCTCTTTTTCAAGGGACCAAAGTAATTGGACAATGGACTCCAAAGGCTGCAAGTAACTCAAAAGGCCTTTCCTCGTTAACCTGTAATCAAGTAAGTAGTTAAAAGGTCTGGGGTTGTTTCCAGGTGTGTGGTTTTGCATTTGGAAGCTGTTGCTGTGACCAGACAACATACGGTCAAAGGAGCTCTCAATTGAGGTGAAGCAGAACATCCTGAGGCTGAAAAAAAGGAAAAAATCCATCAGAGAGATAGCAGACATGCTTGGAGTAGCAAAATCAACAGTCTGGTACATTCTGAGGAAAAGGAATTGACTGGTGAGCTTGGGAACTCAAAAAGGCCTGGGCGTCCACGGAAGACAACAGTGGTGGATGATCGCCGCATACTTTCTTTGGTGAAGAAGACCCGTTCACAACATCAACTGAGGTCCAGAACACTCTCAGGGAAGTAGGTGTATCTGTCTCTAAGTCAACAGTAAAGAGAAGACTCCATGAAAGCAAATACAAAGGGTTCACATGTAGATGCAAACCATTCATCAATTCCAAAAGTAGACAGGCCAGAGTTAAATTTGCCCAAAAACACCTCAAGAAGCCAGCCCAGTTCTGGAAAAGTATTCTATGGACAGATGAGACAAAGATCAACCTGTACCAGAATGATGGGAAGAAAAAAGTTTGGAGAAGAAAGGGAACGGCACATGATCCAAGGCACACCACATCCTCTGTAAAACATGGTGGAGGCAACGTGATGGCATGGGCATGCATGGCTTTCAATGGCACTGGGTCACTTGTGTTTATTGATGACATAACAGCAGACAAGAGTAGCCGGATGAATTCTGAAGTGTACCGGGATATACTGTCAGCCCAGATTCAGCCAAATGCTGCAAAGTTGATCGGACGGCGCTTCACAGTACAGATGGATAATGACCCCAAGCATACAGCCAAAGCTACCCAGGAGTTCATGAGAGCAAAAAGGTGGAATATTCTGCAATGGCCAAGTCAATCACCAGATCTTATCATGCATTTCACTTGCTCAAATCCAGACTTCAGACGGAAAGACCCACTAACAAGCAAGACCTGAAGGCTGCGGCTGTAAAGGCCTGGCAAAGCATTAAGAAGGAGGAAACCCAGCGTTTGGTGATGTCCATGGGTTCCCAGACTTAAGGCAGTGATTGCCTCCAAAGGATTCACAACAAAATATTGAGAAAAAACTTTTTTGTTTGGGTTATGTTTATATGTCCAATTACTTTTGAGCTCCTAAAATGTGGAGTGTTTGTAAACAAATGTGTACAATTCCTACATTTTCAATCACATATTTTTGTTCAACCCTTTAAATTAAACGTTACAATCTGCACTTGAATTCTGTTATAGAGGTTTCATTTCAAATCCAATGCGGTGGCGTGCAGAGCCCAACTCACAAATATTGTGTTACTGTCCAAATATTTCTGGCCCTAACTGTATGGGCTTTCCTTCTAAACTCTCTCATGTCCCGTTGCATACTTTCTTACAGACTTTTGTTGTTTCGCTCAATGAAAAAAAAAAGTGTGGCTAAAGCAAGATTAACATCAAGATAAATTTTGCTGTCCTAAAGGGGCAATTTTTTGCAGCCAGCAAGGAACAAATGTGTCCTTTGAACAGCTTCTTTAGTCGCGTGGCTCAGTAATGGCTGAATCAGACTCAGGCTCGCTCTCTTACTCATTATTGTGAAGGCCATAACATAAGATTACTGTATGAACAACCAGCAGAGAGGCGTAATCATTCTGACTGAATATGACAAATCAAACATAATAATTTTATATATTTTTTATGACACCTCTACCTCTACCTTTTTGACAATGTTTTCAGATCCAGAACCCCTCCTGGATCGGCGGCAGCAGTGCAGCATCTCCCGTCCCTGGCTGCGTTGTTCCCTGTGACACCGTGACCACATGCATGACCCCACACCCCCACTCTGCCAGTGGGGTCTCTGACTTCCTGGGCGTATCGAGTCCCGGGGGACATGTCGGACAGCCTCACATGGGCAGCCTGTTTGGCGGCTCTCCTGGCATGGCTGCGGGCATCAACACGTACGATCTCAACATGGATCCCGACCGCAAGTCCTCCAGTATTGCTGCTTTGCGTATGAAAGCCAAAGAGCACAGTGCTGCCATTTCTTGGGCAACATGATGCGCCGATGCACGCTGGATGGGGGATATATTACGCAGACTAGGGGCACTTAATTCAAAAACTCTGCAGGAAAAGTGACTGCCTTTATAAATGCTGCAACAAAAATGATTATGAGCATCGGAGGTGGCTGGCAGAGGTTTGCCAGGTTTCAGTGCCTCTGCTGGAGGAAAGTCAGTGTGAAAGCCTGATGGAAAGAAATGCTGTGTAGTCCTAAAGACAGACAGAGAGGAGGATTTCAAACACTCTCATGCACGTTTATTGTCTGTGCATTGCTATAAGTGTATGCAGTGTGGAGTTTGGTGCTGTTTTCATTTTTACTTTATTTAATTTTTTTGTAGGATTTTGTTTTTTTGAATTCTTTGTACTTTTACAAATATTTCAACCCCCAAAAAAAAAAGAAACAGAAAGTCATTGTTCTTTTTTTTTAAGCCACAATAATTTCTTTTTTCCATCAACAATATTTTAGCATTAGATCTGAAATACTGGGGCTGTAAAGAAAAACGAGTGTTTCAGAAAATCGTCCTGCACATCCATCACGTCGAGCAGCTCCTCGCTTTCAGCACAGTTTTTCAGCAAATACTGCGAGTTTAGGAACGTCTAAACCCATAAGTTATTCTGTTTCCTCACATTTAAATGTCGAGTGGGTGGAACATGACCAGGCTGAGTCGGATCAAGATGGGAGATCCACCTGCTGCACTGAGTAAGTCTGCTGATGGCCGCAGAGAGGAGGCGATGGACGAGGAAGTGAGAGGGGAGGTGCACAGCAGGCCTGCTGCTCTCTGGACCTGAGAGCCTTGAAACAAAAAGGACATTTTGTCTAAAAAGGGGACTCAACTGAGCCCCTGGCCTTGCTTCGGAGAAGGAAGCGCCCTCCGCTCAGTCAGACTGTCAGGAATAACACAGAAAACAAGCAATCCCCGTGTTTGAAAGAGAGAAGACCGGCCCAGATTACAAAGTGTGCGTTGACACTTTGAAGCTTTTCAAGGACTTTGCCATTTGTTGAACATTTTAGGATTTTCAGCCAGAATGTGTCTAGCTGTCAAAGCTGAACATACAGATGGTATTTTTATCTTCTTTTCTCTAGTTGCTCTGCTCAAAATACTTAAAGCATCAAAGTCACTGTTAATTGAAAACATCTTTATAGGGGGATGGCCATGTGACAGTAACACAGTTATTAATAATAATCTACATTTCAGGTGAAGCATGGAAGAAACCTGTCAAAAATTCTAAATCTTTGAAGTTCATATAAGAAAAACATTCTAGCAGAGTTTTAGAATGGATGCTATTGTTAGATTCAATGTCTTTCAAGAAAGGAGGAAAGATAAAAGAGCTCATCACAGTCCAAGAACAATTGGACCAATAAACAGTCCTGGTTCGAAATGTTACCACTGAAGAGAAGCAGAACCAAAAATATCTGTGCAAAAGATCGTTGTAGAACAGCATCTAATAATACTAAACATGGAGCAGGTTTTAATAAAGTTTTCTGTTAAGTCATTATGTTTTTGTACTGTCAAATCTATGCTTCTGACAACAGGGTACCTGTTTCAAGCACAGGCCCACAGCATGATACCACCTTTGCCATATTTTTGGTAGACTCCTCATTGTAAAACATTGTCCTTTCTCGACATGCTGATAATTTTAGTGAAGCCTAATCATACCGGTGCCTGCTTAAAAAAAAAGAAAATGTGGCCTGTTATTGACTAAAAGTCTGATGTTTTCATCATTATGACAAAGAAACAGAAATAAAATTTTGTGCTATATCAAATTTTAAAATTTAGCATAACACATTTTTGTTTCAAAGAAATTATTATTTTATGTTAAAAGAAATTTAAAACGGTCAAAAGGACAGTAAGGCATCAATAAGAGAGCCTAGAACAATTAACTTATTTTTTTTGTCATTGTTGAAAAGAACTTTAGTTAAATTCACCAGTTATTACAGTTGTTTTGTTTGTTTGTTTTGTTTTTTACAAGGGTGTGTGTACCTTCAGTGAATACTCAGACTGCTTATCAATTATTTAAAACTAGTTGTACAGTAAAACAACAGGTATTACTTGGAAGGCAAATAGACAGATAAAATGTTTCGGATCTCACTGAGGATATCGTTCATATAGGATGAGTTTCCCCCCTGGCAACAGCTTCCTCTAGAGACAGAAATAGCAAATGAAGTTTTCCATAGTTCTACAGCATAAGACATATTTCCTGTGACCAGGAAGCTAAACGTAGGCTTAAAGCATAACAAAGATGTTTTGTCAAAGAGTCAATTTGAAATATTGCACCAGGTCGAAAAGCAGAGGATTTCCCTAAAGTGAACCACATCAACTTTCCCTTTTGTTTGGTTGGTTACTGTCAGCAGAGATCCTCTAAAATTATCTGCATTATGCTAAACTGTGGTGAAAATGGTAGGATATGTGTTTGCATGGAAGACAAATGAGGTGCCTCCTGTCCCCCCGTCCCGCTTTTAGCTGAGAGGTTGAGCGAAGGGCGTCTGTGTGTTCCGGCGTTTTGGGAAAAGGACGGTGCACACAGCTGCGGTCGAGGGGTAAATGCAAAACAAACATGCCTCACACATGCTTCCAGCTTCAGCTGTCACAGCTCCGCTTTCAAACGATTCGCCCTTTCACACACGATGCACCGCGCCTCTTCCTGGGGTCGCTTCCTTCACGTCCAACAGCCCCAATGCTGCAGCCAATAATCAGCTGCAGGGTCCGAGGGCCGCACAAGGCTCTTTAATTAACACAGAGCCATGTGGAGGCCGAAGACCACCATATTGTGTGTCAGGATGGACAGGAGCATCTGGTTTAATGAAGACTGTCCATCTGCACAGAGCATGCAAACGCTACAGCACTGAGTTGCTCAGGTTTACAGAACACATACTCAGTGTTTTAGCTTTTTGAAGAATTTGGTTTTGCTTGTCTTTATTTTTTTTTTTTTTTTGTATTTTTTATTTGTCTATTAATACGAGGAAGCTTCTTCCTGTCCGCTGCATTGATTCTACCACGAATGATTCCATTTTCCCAGTTTTCTCAGTTTCTGATACTACTGAAGTCAAGTAATCAGCATAGGAGTAACTATATGATGAATATATGTGTTGATGCATTGTTGTACATGCAGAGAAGACTGATGTGTCGTAGCTCTTGGAATTGTAATTAAATGGATGTTTAGTCAATATTTTGAATCAGTTTATCAAGTATTTAAACATGCTTTTCAGTACTCTTTGAATATACAAAAAAAAAAAAAAACGGAAAAAAAAAACAACCTGGAGGTGTATACATGTATTTTCAAAGATGAATGAACAGAATTTGTCTACTCATGTTCTTTAAAAGTTTTTTTTCATGTTTGTAGCTTTAAGCTACCTTTTGAGTTAAGAAATCTGCTCTCGCATGTGTTGTTTGAGTGATTAAAGTACTATAAGTTATTGCACCTTGGTGAGAGTTTATTACCTTGGACATCCAAGTCATTTTCTCACATCTGTGTGGGTTGATGGTGTACTTAAATGTATGGCAATAAATACCCAGACACTTTCCCTGGGGATTATGGGAATTTACACCAGAAAACTGGAAATCGTGGCTAATTTATTCAAGCTGATTCATATACGAACAGAAATATTTGTTTAGACATCCATGTTATTTGCAAGTTAAACATTAATGCCACATATCAAAGATGCTACTCTACTAATATCACCAAAACCTGCTTTCTTTTATGTAGTTGGGTAACTTAAATATCTCTGGCTCAAAAATCTGTTTGCAGTTGTTTAGAAAATAGAGAAATCTCTGGTGCACATGACGTAATTTGAGGTGCATATTGAGGGGGGAGGGAGCGTAAACCAACATCCCCTGCAATAAGAAGCATGTTACTGAGGAATATTATAGATAAACTCAAGAGTTCTTCCATGGAATCTGGTTGTTTTAGTCAAGACAAAATAAATGTAAAAATCCAGCTTTGACCCAACTGGTTTATATTCATTTAATCCCATCCAAAATTTCTAAATGTTAAATATCCAGGAAGTTCAGGTCAGTAAAGTGTTTCACCGTTTCCTTGCCATCTGCTGGGCAGCTCCTGGAGGATGACGACAAATTCTTCTAACTCTTATGGCCAGACACACACTTGTATTACAGGTAAAAAATAAATAAATAAAAAAATGGTAAACAAATGAGAACAAACTGTTTTATGCAGTGATTAGAGATTATCTTATCAGTTTAAATAGCCTTTATGTATCACTAGATAATAAACAGCCCTGCCTACATAATGGAGTATATTCTTGAAAATATTTCAACAGCGTTAACTATTTCTGCAGTAAAGAAAAAAAAAAGTTTCTTAGCATGTTGGGGTTTTTTTTCTAAGCACAACATAATTTCAAGTTTTTTTCTTTTTTAAGTTTCTGTTAGTTTTTATACTTTAGACTTGAGGGATGAAAAATGACAGAAATACGTAGAAGTAGGTCAGTGGAACTCATTCCTCGATAATATTTTTGTTTTTATAGAAATGCTCATTGTTATAATATTTGGTTCAACAGGTGAATGAGGATGTATTGACTCTGGAAGGAACATTTATGTAAAACAGGCTAAGAAGTTCGGAAAATACAAAGTGAATGAACTTTGCCCTTACACTAAATATGAAAAGGTTAAATATCTGGCTTATTTATATGACTTCAGCATTCAGTTCGTGTTCATTTCAAAGTCTGCACAGTGTACGCCTGAAAAACAAACAAACAAAAAAAACAACGCTTTTTAATGTTTAGACTTATAGTCTTATTTTAGATAGTAAAAATAACACTTTTCAAAATACTGCCTAGTTTTTTCAAAAAACACAAAAGTAGTTGCACAACTGCAGCTTTGTGGTTGTTCCATAGAGTCGCTCAGTGACCCAAATACTCACAAATTACTCTACTAATGTCATACAAAGCAAATAAAAACCCAGCATTTCTTCTATTAATATTCGGAGATCATGTGTCACTTTTAGCTTTCAGAAAAGGCTTTCAATAATAATGAAGCTTAGGAATAACTTGTCTACCTCCACTA